TATAAAATCGTTTATAATTTATTAATGATATTATTAAATTAAATTAATTATTTTAAAATAAAATAGATTTAGTTTTAAATCTTTATCGATCTTTTTTAAACGAATAAAATTTAAATAAAAATAAAATAATTCGTAACATTCAATAGCAATTATTGAGCGCTTATTGAATTATCATAAACTTCGTGAAAGTAAAAGAAATTTTATTTTAAAACGTTTATTATTATATTAATTTATCTTATAAATAATTGTTTTAAGTGTAGATTTATATTAATTTACTTAAATGTTCAGTTAAACTTTACTGATGTGAATTCATTATATTTAAATGTCATATTTTTGATGTAATTGTTAAGTTCAAAAACTCTTATTAATGTTAAATATTTCGTGAATTCTTCTCTCGTCATAAATTATTGTTATTCTAGAAGTTAAGCGGTCAAAAATTATATAAAACTTTCTTTTTTTAACGTTCCATCTGTCTTTTCCATGAGAAGAAAGCATCTGTAAATTCATTCAATCTTTATGAAAATTTATCCAAAAAATACTAAAAATTGTTTTTACATTAATAATACTCTTGTTTAATTCATATAATTAGTAGAAATGCCTGTTGAAATCTTAATTTTCTATTCAGCTATTAACACGAAAATATCATTAACAGTAAAGTATTTTCTTTCTTTTATGTTATAAAAAAATGGCAAATTGATGTAAACAATTTCTTACAAATAATGCAGTAAAGCAACAAAAATAATTTAATTTATATATGTGTGTATATATATAGCATAATACTAGACTAAATAAAAGTAAAATACAGACAAACGAAGTATTTAAACAGTCATTAAAAGATAGAAGTTCTAATATGTTGTGCTCCTTGGAGAAATCCCGCATCACTTCCTTTAGGGAAAACTAGGAGACGAGAAAATTAGTAATTTGCTGCAAAACACGACAGTATAAATTCGTTTTAATAAAGTTTAAATCGTAAAAAATAAATTAAATAAAAGCAATTATTTTATTCCTTAATAACTATTTTACAAACACATTTAACTACTTCCTTCTTGAACGTGTATTGTTTTTTAAAGAAATTAAATTAAAGAAAAAAATATTGTGCACATGGAAGAGAAATATTATTATTATTATTATTATTATTATTTTGAACCACTAAAAAATTGTATAACTAAATGTTTAGATAGAAGAACATCACAGCTGTTGTTTAATTCTTAAAATATCATCACGATGTAACGTATTGTCTACAATGGGGTAATGGACTAGACCAGTGACCTGTAGGAGAACATCGCAATCTTTGTGATCCCAAAAGACGTAGTCCGGCATTACAGACCACTACGATCACTTCACCAATGTCGTAATGAAACTTAGTTGGTACTATATGTCCATTTGCTGGCTCTCCTGGAAACTCGCACGCTGGTTTACCTATACAAAGATATCCGGATGGAAAATTTTATTAATATTTAAACAATATTATATCTAAGAGAATGTTGTTAAATATTATATTATTACAAAGTTTCCGTCATATAAATAATATTTGTTTACTCAATTTTATGTGTAATTAAATTCAGGATCTAAATTGTATATCCGTCACCAAGAAAGGGGAGTGTGAATTTCGTGTTGTCAACTAAATTGTGCAGAGAACGAATTAAACATTAAAATCGCATTATATAGTGCTTTATATGTTTATGTTAATATAATAATTAAGTGGGTAATTACATTAGTACTTATTATTTATTAATTTTGGAAAAAAGTCCTAATTTCCTACCTATTATTCATTCGTACAAGAATTATTTGACATTATTCTAAAATATTCTGAATTTGTGTGTAAGATGTAAAAAGACTTAGGTTTTTGAAAGTAAATTTCAACAGCATTATATATTTTAAGTCTAAATGCTAAAAAAGATTCCATTCTTTACAGAAAAGAAGAAAAACAAGCAAAAAGAAGAAGAAAGAAGGAGAGAGAAAAGACGAATTGCTGTGAACGAAAACTATCCAATCGACATTTGAGTGTTTTTATTGCTGATAGTAAACAAGAAAACAGAAAAATGTTTTGCTATACTCCACATGTTTACGTGACTGAGGCCTTTCCATCATAGAAATGTGATAAAGTGATAAGAGTCTTTCAAAAATAATATTCTACTATATAACTCTAGATGATATTCTGTTATCTATAACTATCACATTGTATATATCATACTGATACCACTATAATTTGAAACATTAACACGATTTTACATTCTCCATCATTATACTAATTAATGGTTTTCTCTTGCGGGTTAGATTACTAACGATGCTCTCTGTATTAATCTAATTATTCATTACTTATCTCGATCTGTGCAAAGCTTAAATTATTAATCTCTTCAGGAAATCGAGTATGATAAACTCCGAGTGTATTTTGATAACAGTTGGAAAAGTGGCCCGATTAAACCCTTTCCCTGGTCGTGGCAAAAGTTTCCATATATTATCATTAATTAATAAAGTTTGCTAATGATTTAGAAATCCGTTCGGAGATCGTCATCTTCAATATGGTTAGGTGATTGGCCATACTCGCTTTTACTATGCAAATATGATTTGTATGGCTTTAAAAACTTGTTTAAACTTTATTACTTTGTTAGTTTAAATTCAAATCTACGTCTGGCAGATTTTTTTACATAATAAAAGCATCTGGAGCCCGTTCTTATGACGAGGAGAAGGTGTGTTTTATCCCCTTTGCCTTCTCACTTATGTAAAATTTTAGAGCTGATTATGGCATATATGCATGCAGACTTCATCTGGTTATGTTTGACTTCAGACAAAACGACTTTCTCTCCCATCTTTTCTCTTTCCCCTTTCCTCGCGTGTATAAAGAAGTTAAAACTACAATATTTACATATTGGGGATTGCTGCGTCCACTCTCCGTGATCGTCGCAAACTGATATAGACTCTCCCACAATAACGTATCCGGCATTGCAGGTATATTGTATGAAATCTCCGGTAAGATAACGCCCATTATCTAGAACACGTCCATTAGCGGGAGGAAGAGGAGGGTTGCATTGTATGGCTAAAATCGTTTAAATATCATTAAACAAATTACAAATTACTGTAGAATTTAATTATTTTAAGTCTCTCACCCTCGCAATCGGGGTAGATGTCCGACCAGCTCTGGTTTTTCAAGCAAGTTATGGAAGGAGATCCTAAAAGACGATATCCCGTTGGGCACGAGAAGTACACCTTAGAGCCATAAGTTCGGTTTGGGGAATTAATTTTTAGATGCTGATCTTCCGGTTCGATTGGAGGACATTGGATAACTGAAGATATAAAAGACTATTTTAAGAGGACGAACTTCTTGTATTGCTCTCCCGCATCACTTACCTTCGCAATGAGGAAGATCGGCCGACCATTGACCCGATGCTGTACATGTTATCATATCGGGTCCTATCAGGTTGTAACCTTCCATACAAGAAAATTTAGCTTGACTGTGCATCTTATTACCTTCTACGGACATGACTCTGTTCCTGTCCACCATTTCAAAAGGAGGACATTGAACACCTGCAAGACGAAAGTGAAATCTTAGTAGCAAATATACAAAAGCGATGCACGAATATAATTAAAATTCTATTGCAGATTTCGTAATTTACACGTCTTATCTACATTAAATTAAATCGCAGTTGGCAGTCACCATCTGGCGTTTGCGGAGGGAAACTTACAAGAGAAATAAGGTTAGTAGACATGGAAGAATAGAAAAAAAAATTTAATAAAATTTACATACCGGAAATTTAGATAAAAATAACAAAAACCTAAGACAGTTTTATTACTTTTTTGAATTTTTTCACGTCTTAGAAGTGTTAAATATTTTTCTAAACTTCATAGGAGCTTATTAATTTTAATAACAGAGAAGAGAGGAAGTGATTTCGTTTGTTAAACCGAAGATAGAAGAACTTTTTACAGATCAGTAAACGTAGATAAAGCTCTTGTTTTCTCTGTAGTCGTGCGAAACTCAATAGAAATCACCTAATATATATCCCAATTTGCAATCGATCGTTAAGATATCTGCCACTTTCAATCAATTACACTTCAATAAACTGATGCAGGCTGATATGGGACGGATCCTCCTACTTTATCCAAAAAAAAACATTAAAAGGGAGAAATCTAATCTCCCATTACACGCACGATCCTATGACGCATCAGTAAAGAAAATCCCCAAAATATTGAGTGAGTCATAGGCAATTCGTCTGACCTTCTAAACGGCAGTTGGGCAAGATATAAAAAAAGGAGATTCGAGTAAAGTTTTCCACAATTTACATAAATAATATCTTACTTTTAACTGCTATTTTTACTTCGTTATTTAGACCTCTGGGTGTGGTGCAAGTGTAGACTCCAGTGTCGTGTTCCATTGCGTAATATATCGACAAACGATACTTCCAGCTTCTCTCTTCAACGTTAATTCCCCATCCGCAAGGATACTGTCTATAAAAGAGATTAAAACTTATGACAAACAAAAATAAATTCTAAGCAATCATCAAAGCATTGAAGTTGTCCCATCCGGAGAAATCTGAAGGAGAAGAACCATTAGTCAGTCTTTAATAGGAGGCATGATGAAGGAGGAGGTTCTGACCTATTGATCAACAGCAATCTCCAAAGTAATCACTTCATCCACAAGAGTAACTCGAATCTTGTTCCTTCTCAGTTTTCCATTAAGCTAACCGATTCGAAAATACACCGACTATACAACCACAGAAAAAAATATAAGAAAAGAAAAAACTTATAGAAACTGTCAAATTCGTGCTTTTTTTAAGCAATTTCACTTAAGTTTAAATTTAAAAACATCGTCTAGTATAATAAATTGAATAATTTAAAACGAATTTTCTCTATATTTAAGGGAAAAAATCTGTTTTCTTCTTAAGTTCTCTTCGACGATTCTATAGTTTTTTTTGGATAGAAAGCGATTGATTTTTTGACATTTTTACAATTTTAAACACCTTATCTCACCTTTTAGTCGGTGTCCAAGTCCATTCGGGATTTCCGTATTGTCTCTGGAAGAGGCAATCGAAGTGAACGATGCTTCCAGGTAATATGACCACCACTCCAGATTCTGTGATTCCAGCATCTCCGGATACTACGTTATATACTATTGTCGGGGGTGCTTGTACTGTAAATAAAGTACGTAGATTAAAAAATCGATATATTACATTTAAAAGACCAAAATTTAATATATTAAAAGCACAAAAAATAATAACAAAAAAAATATATTCGCCAAGTGAATACAAATGGGATTTTACAGATTCACAGATTTTTCTTTCTCTTTTTTATTCTATTTGTTATTATGAAAATGTAGAAATTCGATATTTTATTCGAATATTTTTTATATATATTTTATATTAAAAAAGTGTTTAAAAGTTGATCGAATAGATTTCTATACATTTTTTTAAAGTAATAAATGAGATAAATTAGTAATTTTAAGTGCGAAATCAACATTTAAATTCGTTTTTCTCTCAACAAATACAAATATTTGTACTTTAAATTGTTTTTTAAAGGTTAGAAAATGTATTTTCCTGTTATGTATTCCCTCCAAAAAGTAAAATTTGTGCTTCTCTAGAAAGAAATTCGGCGACTTTATCTTTAGTAGAAAGAAAGAAACAAGCAAAATTCGAGTGGAGCAAAGGATATTACGATCTGTGGCCAACTGTAAAGTGTTTACAAAGGTGTATCGAATACTTTAGCTTTTTTCTTATAAAAGAAACAAAAACCTTGCGCCTTGGGAAACAAGATATGAGTGTCGATGCACTAAAACGCAATCAACTCGGACTTGTCATGTGTCAGCTTGAAGAAGGCGATCTTAGCCTGGCACGTAACAAAAGCAAGAATCGCCTTCTGCATTAAACGTGACTTGTTGTGACAAAACTGAAAGAGAAAGGGGCCGACATGGATGACTAGAATAACGATACTATATTCTTCTTCTGTCCACTCTGGCAACGAATTTTGTACTATCCATTAGAAGCTAAACATTATTCGACTGGATCAATTGCCCTCCGGTAAATACCGACTCGATTGTAAACACCAAAGAATCGAAAAACTTACATCTTTCTAGGCGCACATCCAGCAAAATTAAATGCTTTCAACTCTTCTAACGTTTAATATAAAGTGTAAAATAACTTAAAGTAATTATTTAACTGTTTAGTTTACGTCTAAATTTACTTTTTAGTACAAGAAAACGGCTTTAATTTCTATTTAGTAACGTATAAAAATGATTAATATTTACTAAATATATATATATATCTTTTTTAAAGTAATTTTATTCTTTATTATTGTTATTTAATTTTTAATCATATTTTAAATTTATTTAATTTAAAATATATGCTTTCCATTTCAAATTAGTAATGTCTTGCCCCTGTACATCATACTTTTCCTCTTAGCAATCGAGTCGTGCCGGTGATCTATCTAACTTCTTTTTCGAGATTAAGGGAAGACAGTGGAAATTGATAGGTCTACAATTTTGTAAAATTGCATTCCAATAAATTAATATACACAAAAGCAATCCAATTAAATCTCCTTAAAAAATAAACTTAACTTCTGATTGAATACATTTTTTTCTCATTTTCGAATCAGAAAATAAAGATTATTATGTATTGACTGGAGGATTTAAAAAAAAAATATTTATTTTTAAATAGAAAAACGTAAAGATCTTTAAATAGAGAGAAACGTAGAGTAGATTTTTTTCCTTCTTTTTCCTTTCGAAAACATTAAATTCCGACATATGTTTAGGATGTTTGACTGTATCGAAGATAATAGAAGCATGGATAAATCGACTTGTAATCAAAAATAGAAAACTGGAAACGATAGAAGCTGGCTTAAAACAAAAAAGAAAACTTTAAAAAAATCGAATGTTTTGTAAGAAAATAAAGAAACACACATATATATATATAAATTCTGTAGAATGTTTCTAAATACAGTTATCATTGTGGACAAATTACAGTAACTATAGATTTCATAAGTCTCTTTTTTAAATTGCCAGACTGGTGATATTGGAAAGGGATGTAATGTCTAACATTAAACAGAAGAAAGATGCTGGTTTGTCTATCAGTAAAGCTAGAAACTTTGATGTTAAATAGTAAACATCATTGAAAAATTTAAGTAGTTTACTTGAAAAATTTCTCTGAATGGTCGTCGACACGCAATGGGGCATAGCGGCACTCCATAAGCCATTTCGACAAGTTATCGAGGAATTACCAACAAATTTGTACATTCCTACTTCCACACAACGTAACTCGAGTGTACTGCCGTGAGGCAATGCTATATCTCGATCGTTGGAGGCTAATGTCTTGCGTTGGTAGGATATGACGACTTCTGGATCGCTGGGCTTCAAAATACATTGCTTCAGCATGGGTTGGAACCTTCCTCCCTCTGAAATAACACAATTAAAATGTTTAACTTTATTAATCATCTTTTAATGTGTTAAAAATTAATAAATACCATTAAAAATTGACGATCTTTATCTAATTATACATTCGTGATGGAAATCAATTAAATCCTATGTGTAAAGATTGAGTTTTATATAGTTTACTTAACTGGATGTTTATCAATATTTATTCGAATATAATTTACATAATTTAACTCGATATATGTTTCATTTATAATTAATTATACTAATATTAACGTGTAGTTTATATACGTTATCATATAGAGCTTTATATGATGATTTATTAATAACGCGTGTGTGATATGACGATTACACTATAGCGAATAATACATTTTATAAGCAATTTTTATAATGAAACAAATTTTCCAAGGAATTTTTATTTATTTAAAGATTCTAATAATGGAAATGGATTCTTGCAGCAACCAACCTAAAAAAGGCCAAAAGAAGGAGAAAGCGTATCCCAAACTGGTTGGTTTCGGTAGATACTTCCTTTCTTCAATGTAAAGAAAAAACTTTCAATGAAATTTTTTCTTCATTTGATTTCATTCAGAAAGTATTCCTACTACTCAATTTCTCCTATTTCATTTTACATCCTATGTCAAGAAACCCGTTTGACATCTCCGTAATATATCATTTTTATCAATTTAACTAATTAATTTGATAAAAGATAAATTGCGGAAATCTTTAAAAAAGCAATTAAATAAATAAATAATCGCAAATTAAAGAAGTTTTAATTAATAGATAATTTGTTTATATAAACAGAAGTAAGGATAATTCGACTTAATTTCATTACGATTTTTATAAACCCACCTTCGTCGATAGTGCAAAGTGGGCCAACCCAGACTCCGTTCAAACATTTTATTTTGCAAATCCTTTTCTGCTCCAACGGGCCAATAACGCCGAGAAATTGAACTTCTTGAACACTAGCAAAATCAGTTCCTCCGTTTCCGGGTATAACAGATCCGTTAATTAAAACTTCAGGAGGAGAACAACCTCCTCTGTTAATTGTATCTCTTCCTGTTAACGGATAAATATAAGAAATTATCTAACGCTAAACATTTTTAAACGATAAATAATGATATAAAATTTATATATATTTATATGCATATATTTTTTTTATAAATTATTTCCTAAATTATTGGAAAGAGATAAATCATTAAATTTCCATTCTTTCTCGAATATAGATGAATTAGTAAACGTCTCTTTTAAGAAGAAAATAAAAAAAATATATTCTACATCATTACCGAAAAACAATTATCATGGACTTGATAGACTTGTCTTTTTTACTTTTTAATCACGATACAAAAGAAAAAACAATTAGGTATAAAAGTTATAAATAAAAAAAGAATATATTGATATAAAATACTGGAAGAGCAATAGAGTTTTCCAGTGATTGACTTATAAGCTGCATTTCCCAACGACGATATTAATTTGACGAAAGGTCAGTGAATGCTTCTCTTATGCAACGTTCCTAAACTTCATCCAAGCGAACAATGAATAGTTCATGTTGGAATTCTATCAATTCTACAGAAATTGAGTGTTTCCCTCTTCAAAAATACAGAAAATTGCTTTATAATCTTGCCAATATAACTTATACTAAAGTAAAAAAATCAAATAAAATAAGAAAAGACGTTATTTTCAACATCGAATATTTTTTTACATTAATTATACGATTTCAAATTTTTCCTGTAAAGTTTGCTTCTCCTCAAAGTTAGCGATTTATGCAAGGAAGTGCTCTTTACAGGGAAAGTTCCTTTTTCAATTTAAGCTTTTAAAGAATTTTAAGATCTAAAATAAAAAGGTAAGGGGAGGAAATGTATTTATCAAATTGAACCGAAATATTAATAAAGCTTTTAAATTAATAGTTTTGACTTTATTTGTTAGAAAAAGAAGGCAACTTCGATCAAAAATAAGCTAACTTCTGCAGTTATCTAAATGGTCAGTTTTTGACAAAAATGAGTCTTTGCGAAGGTCCACCGAAAACCATAAAATCCCAGATCTTTCCTCTTGTCCTTGTGTTCCTGTCGTCGGTTTATTGCAAGTACCTGTACGAGATTTACTTGAAACAAGCAATCGTATAGAAACGGGTCGATGATAGAAAATCAGTTCTTAGAAATACAAAAATAAAAAAAGACACTTTTCAATTGTATTCTCGAAAAAAGAAAAAATCATTAAAACTTTTACCCATCAAAAAATATTTAAAACTAATTTAAAAAATTAATCATTTTGTTTAAAAATTTCGATGTTAATTGGAAAAAAATTTTCGACTGGATAAAATTCTACTTTTAATCCTTTTAATAAAATAATTAAATAAATAAAGTACAAACAACAGTATTAAACTTCTTAATTACACGTATAAAAGTATTATAATTCAGCAGAATTTAACGTGGAAAATGGAATAAAGAGAAAGATAAATTTGTAATTTACGAGGAAAGTTTAGAGGAAGGACGGTTCCTATCCGGTCCAAATTGGTGTTTATCACTTATATTAATAGCTAAGCCTAACAGGGGTGATGAAGATTTACGTCATAGCAAAATCGATTCTTACTTGTTGGAAGGTGATTCACGGCGAAGGCAGATGCAACGATAACAATCCAGTACATCCATCCATGGCTTAAGGACTCCAACATCGTCAGTCCGTTGCAAGAGACTCCACTTGAACCGTACCTGTCCGACAACATACTGTCTGTATAAGCGCCCCCTGACGTTGATTTTCCTTTACTGATTCAAGTTTCGGTAGAGGAAAATAACGATCGAACAGGCTCAGGTATACGTCTGTGCCACCACAATGATTTATTCATTTTTAAGAATTCAAACGGGAGAATAAAAGTTGCCGAAGAGAAAATGACCAAGGCGAATTGTATTTATTAAAATTTAAAAAAAGGCTATACCAGTTCTCTTTGGAAAAATCTACGTGCGGAATTACATTGAAAGAGACGAGTTTCTAATGAGTTACATTGAAAAATTGAAGATTTTTCCCACTTTTTCTCTATAAAATATAAAAGAACGGCCAGAAAAGTCGAGATGGATCTATAAGTCAAAAAAGAAAAAATACATAGGATACTGGAAATCAAAGAAAATTATCTAATAAATCATAAAAAATAACACACATCCCCGAAAGGAAAAGCATTAAAGTAATGTTAAACTTTAAAGTTATAGAACTTAAAAATTAAAATTAATAGAGACGAAATTAAACGTTTTCTTATAGAAAATCACATCGTATTTTATAAATATTTAATCAAAAAATTAACAGCTGAAAAATTAATTACAATAAAAATAAGTTTAAATACGTATAAATATTATAAGAATTAATGAGTCGATTTATTGCGCTTAGAAATAAAATAATTTATAAAATATATTTTTAGATAGACACAAGATATTTTATGTTTTAATTTAAAATTTTTAAAGTAGAAAATTATTATTGAATAATAAAAATTTTGGATCAAAATAGATAAAATACGAGCGATAAGAATAAAAAAGAAACAAAGATAGTGATTAAGAATATAAAAAAAAATAAAAATTGAAGAAAGCAGACGAAGATAGACTGAAAAATAAGATTTTTCGAATAGAATATTAAATATTAACAATTCAAATCAAGAATTGTTGGGTAAAAAGATAAATACTCCAGCAGTTATAACAGAACATTCAATCAAATCCTAAGAGCTATAACAAAACATTCGAAAGTAAATTTGCCAGCCAATGATGTTTGCTCTACAGAAATAATGATTTTTAAACTTAAAATTCCCGACTTAAAGTAAATAATTAGCTATCGAAAGAAATAAAAAGTAATAATAACGAGCAAATATTTATTGTGACATGGTCGCAATGCTGAAATTTTCTATTATACTTTTAATTAATTTAATTTAAAATATACGCTCTCTACTTTAAATCGGTAGTATTTTGCCCCTGTACATCATACTTTTCTTGTTAGCAATAAAGTCATACCCGTCATCTCCATACAGAGGATAATTTTGAATTGGAGTAACGTGACTTCCGATGCAAACCGGAAGTTCGTATATAGTTAATTAAGGCCTCTTACCCTATCTAACTCCGTTCTCGAGATTAAGGAAAGACATCCAGCCAGACAGACAGACGACAGAGGTCTACAATCTTTTCAAATTGCAGCCCAATAATATTAATCGGAAAATTCAAAAGGTAAACTCGAGCAACAGCAGGGAGGAAAAGATAACGTGGCTTTAAAATTAACAAAAGAGAAAATAGGATTTAAAAATAAAGACTTTTTTTTAAGAAACTAAAAGAAAAACTTCAAAGAATTTTAAACTTAAAATTAAAAAACGAAAATAAACATATTTTAAAGTACAAAAAATTAAAATCTTTAACGTACATAAAAATATTCGAACGGCTCTTTTAAAATATTTTAAAAAAATTAATTAATTAAAGAATAGAATTAAAAATTTACTATATTATATNCAGTTATAATTGAGCAGAGATATATCAATGGTAACACTACTATGTAAATGCAATGAATCTGCTGAATTACAAGTTGATGGTACTACATAAGCTTCTGCTAATTTCCACAAACTTAAAAAACAGTTCAAAGTAAAATAAACTCATGTTTAAATTTATATTTTGTATATATTTGTTTTTAGTTGCTGTAACTTGCGTATGGATTAATATTGTAATACAAGGCTTAATTTTCGTAAATAATATATTCAATACTTATTGTATGAGCGCAGCCATCTTTGATCAGTTATCGCTACCCGGAATTAGTGTAAATGAAGTCATCCACTAAACATGACGTTAATACACTCAACATGTTCCGAAATAGAGCTTCTGTAGAGGGTGTTTAGTAAAAAAAAATACTCAAACGCTCCGGAACTGTCGAGTCTGGTGAACGTAATCAATAATTGGTTAAATCAATGGTGTCCAAATTGCGGTCTCCGGGCCAAACATATTTGACACACTACTTATAAATTACAGAAATAGGCCTACTTTTCTATATATACAGTATATAGAGAGAGAGCGAGAGAGAGAGAGAGAGAGAGAGAGAGAGAGAGAGAGAGTATACTCCCTTCTCCCCCACTAATAGACACTCATAGAGAATGAGCATTAGTATGAAAAATTTGTAGATCGGTTTAGAAGTGTGTGTAATTATTAGACACAAGAACAGACGATACATTTAATTATCCTCTTTAATAATTTCTTGTTTCTTTATGCATATATAGTGTATAATATAATATATACTTTATGAGTTTTACACTCAGAAATTTCGAATTTTTAAGATTTAGTATCGAAAATGGATCAGATTATATCTAAAATTATAAATAATTATAATCAAATATATTTTGAAAGCTTTATATTTAATTATTTTAAACACAGAAGCATTTTATTATTATTTTTTCTATTAAAAAATAATATAAACTGAACAACATCTTTCTATCGTCGGCTTTATAAAATGTACTGTACCAAAGATCAATATTTTAACCTAAATAGTCGAAAATTTGAATTAAATTCTGAGACTTTATATGTTAAAGTATGATTTATACGAGTAAATTTATAAGAAAATAGAAGTTAAAACATGATAATTCATTATAGAGAAGATACATGTCTAATGATGCTACATAAGAATCTTGCACATATTCGCTTATAAAATACTATTATACAGGAAAATTTGCCTTAATATCTCATTTAAAAGTCATAATTTTATAATATATTTTTATAAAAATGTATTATAAAAACCCATAAAAAGCAAAAATATATAATTCCTATTCCGTATAAAACGTTTAAAATATATACACGTATAAAACTCATTTAAAAGGTTAAAACAGGAATTATATTATCGTTTAAAATATATATTCATTATATGTTTATAATATTTAAGGTAATAAACTTTTATTAATTTAATTTACATAGAATAACATAATAATAAACTTTAAAATTAGTTAACCATTTACACTAATTAAGTAATGTAAACATAATAGCATTTTATCATTACGTAAACGTATAATGTTTATGTAAATATTAAAAAAATTAATAATTTTTGGGTTTTAAATTATTATAATGCTATTTTTATGTCATCTTAACGTAAAAAAATGCTATTAAAATTAATATTTGCAGAGGTTTTCGACGATTTTTTTATGAGATTAAACCACTTCGATTTTGAATTATTGCAGATATTAAATGGATATAAAGTTTTATTTTCTGTGTTAAAACTCTTGTAAATTGTTTAAGATAAGGCAGAAACACTTATTTTCAATCGAGTATTATGTTTACAAACCATTTTCTTATATATTTATATTGTTTAAAAGAGAAAATAATCAAGAGAAAAACAGAATGTAAACGTTAGATAAGCTAAGAAAAATTGAACTTAAAGAGGAAAAGAGTATTAAAAATGTTTTATTCCTTAATTAAAATAAAAATTTATATATTTTTCTATTTAAAATATATGCTCTCCACCTCAAATTAGTAGTGACTTGCCCCTGTAAATCATACTTTTCCCGTTAGCGATAGAGTCGTGCTGGTCATCTAACTAACTCCTTACGAGAGAAAATTTTTGAATTGAAATAACGTGACTTCCGGTGCAAACTAGAAGTTCGTATATAGTTAATTGGGATTTCCTGCCCCTAAAGTACATCTGGTCTTGTCTTTCATCTATGATTAAGGAAGGAAAGACACATGGGGTGAAGAAATGGCCTTACTCATAGGTGTAGCCAAAGAAGTTGATGGAAAGAGGAGAAAGAGGTATGGGAGGAGGGAAGAGATGGGACGGATTATAGCTTAAAGATGGAAGAGAGGACAGACAGACAGACAGACAGACGACAATGGAAATTTAAGCGATAATAACCTAGAGAAATATAAAGTGTTAACTTTATATATCGTAATGGTTTTGCTATGAGAGTTAAGATTTCTAGACCGAAGCTATTAAAGAAAATGGAACTTCGATTTTATATATAAAAAATTTATACTTAAAATAATGAAAATAAAACATTAAAACCTTTTTAAAAAAATGCGCATATACCAGCCTCCTCTATGTAATGTTTAAGTAATTTTTTTTTAAATAAATTTCCAAGTTTAAATTAGAAAAAAATTAATTTAGTTTACTAGTTTAAAGAGAAAAATTTAATTAAGTTAGATTATGTTTACTCCCGTGCTTTAAACTGCAGACATAAGAAGATAATACTTAAGTTATAATTTGATAATGTCAGATAATCAGTAGATAGAATTTTATTTTTATTTTTTCAAGTAGAAAACTAAAAAGGTTATATAAGATTATTTTCTGTAATCTGATTATTTAAAATTAGTAAAATTTTTCATTGTATTACTTATCTTTAATTTGATAAATTTTAGCTAATCTGTAATTAGTTTTTTTATTTTTTAAATTTTCCTCGTTTTCCTTGATCTTTTTCCTCATTCCAATAAAATAATTCATTCCTTTGTTTGTGTCTGTCTGTCTGTCTGTTTGTTCTCTCTCTCTCTCTCTCTCTCTTTCTCTCTTTTAAGTTTAGCATCGCTTCTGTATATATTTTACATCATATTAAATCAATTCGATTACTATTATTAAATAGCCGTTTCTCCTTTAAATTAAAATTTCACGCATCAACTCTTTAGTAAAAAATATATATATGAAATCTTGTGTATAAATTTTAAAATTTAATTAATTCATTTTCTCTATTGTTAAGTAAGATTTTTATAGTTGCGAG